CTTTATCAAGCTTTCATATTGTAACCTGTTTTGGTACGAATGTTAAGAATATTTTGTATAGCCTTATAACGTTATGCAAATGCTTCATAATGATATATGTATAAAATATAATGCATATATTAACGCACCGAGCATAAAGAGATGCCTGCCACTTTATCAGGTTTTCATTTATTTATATAACTTTTTAGTAGGGAGGAACGTTTGGGTATACATTCGGATTCGGTTTGGATCTATTCGGGTTTCGGGTTATCATGGCCAAAGATTTCAACCCTATTCAGGTATTTCTAAATTTTAGTTCGGGTTCGGTTCGGATCTTTACGGATTCGGTTCAGATTTGGATAATCCATTTAAATTATAAATTTATTATATACTTTCAATTTTTCAAAATCTATAAAAATATATATATTATATATAAGTTTGAATAACATATGTCAAAATACCTAAACCTAACATATAAATTTGATTAGTTTGAATATTTGAATAGAAAAGTAATATATATTCTAAGTTAAGTAATATATATTTTAAATTTTTTTGTGGTGTTTGGAACATACTTTAATTTTGACTATTTGTAATTATTTTAAAATTATTTTAAAATATTTTTAACCCATTCAAATATTTAATCAATTTTGGTTTGGGTTCGGTATTACTTTTTCGGATCGGATTCAGTTTAGTTCTTCGGATTCGGGTTTTTTTGTCCAGTCCTACCTTTTAGGTACAAATTTTTAAAAAAATATAGTGTTCGGATTTAAAAAGCATTTGGAATCCGTACTATTAAACAAATGTATTGCAAATAATGATATATGTTTATTCATATATTAACGCACCCGAGCATATAGAGAGATTCCTGCTACTTTATCATGCTTGCATATTTTTTTTTTAACCTAATAACGTATAAGCAAATCTTATCTAATAAAATAGATTTTTTTTGGTAAAAGCAAAAAATAAAACTTGTCATACCATCTTTTGTTGAATAATTTTGAGGTCTTATAATTCTTTTTTATTTTTTTTAAAAAAAATTTGTTGGTTTTTACAAATAATAAATATCATATCATCTTCATATATATCACCTCATTTAGTTTTAATAATTTTGATATTCAAATATGTATATTTTGAAGAATTATAAAATGTTATTAATAACTTTTTAAGATTTACATGTGTGAATAAATAAAAAATTATATAAAATTACATCACAAATTAGAAAATACAGTATATTTTAAAAAATAAAACATAACTATGATTATGTTAATATATATATATATATATATATATCTAATATAAATAAGAATCTATAATTATATTGTTTGTTTTCTATTCACGATAGAATTATTATTATTATTTTTAACATTTAATATATTTTTGATAAAATTTAGTAATATTATATCTAAACCCACATTTAAATTTTATACAATATATATTATATAGAATAAATAATATAATTAAATAAATTTAGTATATATGTCAAATTTCAAAAATAATAATTAGTAGGGAAAATTTCTTAAATAGAATTTTTAAATTTTTATCACAAAAAGATACCTCAAAAATTAAAATGACCAAAATAGTATTTTTTATTTTGAAAAAGTAGTCCACTTCGACACCCAAAACAATATGTGAGCTCCATTTCAAATTACACAACAAGTAATCAAAAAATATCAAAAAATAAATGAAATTTTTTAAATTTAGTTAAAAAATAAATTGAATAAACAAAATAAAGAATTGGTTTACAAATTGGCTGGAAACTTTATAATTGTAGAACCAAACAAATTACACAGTATTATAGTTATACGTTTAACAATTTTTTTTATGTAAAAGTCAATAACCGAGATAAAACAATAGGGAAAATTCCATATAAATACTCCAACTAAATTTTATTAAGATTTTTAATACCCCAACTTTTTCGCTATCCAGTTTAATACCCAACTAATTATTTTACCTATTTTAACGCACAAAATTTTATAAATGTGTCTATTTTAATACCCAAGCTTTGTTTATTTTAATTAACAATACAAATAAGTTTTCAATAAATTTTTTATAATTTCTAAACTTTACAAAAAAAATTGATTTTTTTGTATGTTAGAGAAATGAAATTAAATAAATTTTTTATAATCTTAAGTTTTGGAATAAGTTTTTTTAAGTTTTTTATATAGAATTTAGTTTATTTTCTGAAATAAAAAGTAAATTATTATTTTTTTCCTTCAAAATGTTTTTCTTAAAAACATTTAAATTTTCTCCAGAGTTTATTTACCTTCTTTCTTAAATCTTAGAGCAAATTTAGAAATTTTAAATATTTTTTCTTAGATTTTAAAATTTTGTTTGAAAACTTATTAGTATTGTTAATTAAAATAAATAAAGTTTGGGTGTTAAAATGGGCACAGTTATAAAAGTTTGCATATTAAAGTGAGCAAATTATTTGTTGAGGTATTAAACTGGGTAGTGAAAAAGTTTGGGTATTAAAAAACTTAATAAAATTTAGTTTGGGTATTTATATGGAATTTTCCTAAAACAATATTATAGTTAACTTTTCCTACTATATAAATTTCAATAAAATACAACAAAATTATTTCAAATAGTTTTAATTTGCTTTCACTTTTATAATTCTGAAACCAGTTCCAGTATATATATATATATATATATATATATATCATATTTGTTTAGTTTTTTCAAATAAAATACACAAAAATATAATTAAATTAAATTATAGAAATATGTTGGGCTAGGGCTGGGCAATCGGGGCACCAATCGGATTTCGGTTCGGGTTCATTCGGGTTTCGGGTTTTCGGGTTCATAAATTTTAGCCTCATTCGGATATTATAAAAATTCGGGTCAGATTCGGTTCGGGTTTAGTCGGGTTCGGTCCGGGATTAGTAACATGTCCAAGATCCGGTTGAACCCGAAATAGTTTTGGTTTCGGATACTAATCGGTTTATCAGTTCTAAAAAATACTAATTTATACTCAATTAAACTCGCTATATTTTCAATTGTTTTATTAATTTTTTGTATTTAGCTTCTACAAACCATATAGTTCTCCATCAAAATAATATTTTGAAACTCGTCTATCAATCAAATAAGATTTTCACTGAACTATATGGACAACACTAAATATATCATGATTATTGACAAACCAAAACCTTGTATAAACGAAAATCATACATAATAAAACAAACTTATTCGTAGCTTAACTTCAAATGTAATTTCAATCATAAATATTTATATAAACCAAATAACACTATATATTGACTAAATATTTGAGTTAATTATTCATATCATAACTAATTATTGTAGGTACTCAATAATATATTAATATGTTTTGGAAACATATTAGAAAGTTAGATTAGGTATGATACAAGTTTTTTTGGAATTTTAAAATTTCGGGTTCTTTCGGATATCCATTTAAGTTCGGGTTCGGTTCGGGTAAAACCCATAACCTGAAATACCATTAAACAAGATCTATTCGATACTTATGTTGGGTTCGGATCGGTTCGAATTTCTTTTTATCGGGTCGGGTTCGGTTTGGATTTTCGGATTCGATTTTTTTGCCCGGCCCTATGTTGAGCGTAGCCCGAAAAACTCCTTAGTTTATACTATTAAAAAAATTCTTTTTGAAGTTCTAGAAAATGTCTATATCAGCGTAAAAAACTCATTTTCGAAAGATGTCACGTAGCATCATTAATGTTTTTTTTAGCAACATTATAAAGTTAATAATCTATTGAAAATGTTTTTATAATTGACATATACTAACGCACTCATGAGCATAAAGAGATGCCTGCCACTTTATCAAGCTTTCATATATTTTTATAACCTTTTTTGGTACGAATGTTAAGAATATTTTGTATAACCTTTAACGTTATGCAAATGCTTCATAATGATATATATGTATAAATTAGAATGCATATATTAACGCACCGAGCATAAAGAGATGCCTGCCACTTTATCAGGTTTTCATTCATTTTATAACTTTTTAGGTACAAATAAAAATATAGTTTGTATTAAAAAAATGTATTGCAAATAATGATATATGTATATCTTCTATTATATTAAAAGAGAAGTCACGACTTCTCATTCATGTGTGATTTTTTATAAAATGGACTATCTATTAGAGTTGGTCACATTATATATTTAATCATTAATAACATTTATTAGATTCACTAATAACATTTATTGGGCTTACTATAAATTTTTATTGGACTAATAAAAATTAGATAATCCATTGAATTTATAGATAGTATAATAAAATACATGTTTAAATTAAACTTATATAATTTAATATTGTAATAGTACAAGTTAATTAGTTATATATTTTCGATGTTAACTTTAAAAATTGTATAGTTTATTTTTAAAAATGACAAAAATATCATTTTCTAACAATAATTAATCTATATTATATAATAATTTAATCATCATTTTCGATATACACACCTTATATAATATATCATTTTTAATGTACACACCTTATATAATATATATATCAATTTAGAAGTAAAAAAAAATGTGTATATAAAAATAAATGAAAACAAATAACCGCGCGGTTGCGCGGGTTGAGATCTAGTGCATATATTAACGCACCGAGCATAGAGAGATTCCTGCTACTTTATCATGGTTGCATATATTTTATTAACCTAATAACGTATATGCAAATCTTATATAATAAAACAGAGCATGTTGATAAAAAAGAAAAAAAAATAGAGCATATTTTAAAAATAAAACATAATTAATAAATTTGATTATGTTAATGTATTTATGTATATGTATACATATCTTATATAAGTAAGAATCTATAATTATATTGTTTGTTTTCTATTCATAATGGAATTATTGTTATATTTTCTTAACATTTAATATATTTTTAATGATATCTAGTAATATTTTATATCTAAAACTACATTTAAATTATATGCAATATATATTATATACACTAAATAATATAATATAATATAATATAATATATGCAAATGCTTTATAAAGATTTATGTATTAAGGCACTGATCAATAAAGAGTTGCCTGCCCCTTTCTCATGCATACTCATATGTTGTGTGATACACCCAAAGGCCAAAAGGCAGCACATTGGCAAAAGTGATCATGCCATCGACAGTAACAATTATCTCGATCTCCGTCGTCATCGCAGCCGTATATCTTCTCACAAGTTTTGCATTTCCGGCCGTGGAGCCGTTAGTCTACTACCACTACTGCTCTCCACCAAAGTACTTTCCAGGATCGTCTTCCAAGTCAAACGTCAGCTCGCTGCTCAACATGTTCGTAAACTCAGCTTCTATCTACACGTACAACAATCTCACCGTCAACGGAAACTACGGACTGCACCAGTGCCGGGGTGATCTCTCCTCCGATGAGTGCGTAAGTTGTGTCGCGCAAGCTGTTCGCCTGCTCCAAAGCCACAGCGTAGGCGAGACCGGCTGCGCATTGCAGCTCGAGGGCTGTTTAGTGAAGCACGACAACGTTATGTTCTTTGGCGTGGCAGATAACACGGCCATGGTTATGAGTTGCGGGACACCGGCTGGGTATAATAAGTATAAGTCGGACGAGTTGACTAATGCGTTGGTTAATAAAGTGGTTGCAAGTAGTGGTACGTCCTACAGAGTTGAGAGGTCAGGGAAAGCGCAAGCTGTAGCGCNGGCTGTTTAGTGAAGCACGACAACGTTATGTTCTTTGGCGTGGCAGATAACACGGCCATGGTTATGAGTTGCGGGACACCGGCTGGGTATAATAAGTATAAGTCGGACGAGTTGACTAATGCGTTGGTTAATAAAGTGGTTGCAAGTAGTGGTACGTCCTACAGAGTTGAGAGGTCAGGGAAAGCGCAAGCTGTAGCGCAGTGCACCGGAGATCTCAGTGAAACGGATTGTCAAGACTGTTTGATCGAAGCTATCCAACGGCTGAAACTTCAACCGTTTTGCGGAACAAGCAGTTGGGGTGACGTCTACTTAGCCAAGTGCTATGTTGGTTACTCGTCGCATGGAGTCATCGGTGAAGGTAATTAAAGCGTTTTATGCTCCGTTGCTTTTTTCTTATAGTAAACATCCAATGTATGGAGAATTAAAATAAATTAAGGTCTTATATATAGAAAGTAATCAACCATATTAGTATATTTTGAAATTTTACTTTCATGCTTTATTTTGGTTTAATGTATATAATTTAGAGAAATATTCTAGAATATCACCAGAATAACATTTTGTTCCAATATAGAAAATTACTAAATAGCATTAGTTAAAAATTTAAACTAATTTTATTTATTTATATTTGAGTTTAGTAGTTAGGATTTAAGTTTTAATAATTAAGAGGTGAAACTAAGAAGGATTTAGAGTAGAATAATTTAGTCTTTTTTACTTTTTAATTAGTGTTATTTTAAAATACTATTTATCATAATTGTTTTTTTGTTATCTAAGTCATATATAATTGGTGTTATTTTAAAATACTATTTTACTTTTTAATTTGTGTATATTTGATAATTGTATGGTTTCATTGTAGAGTTCAAGAAAGGCATTCGGGCTAAGCACGTGGCGACCCAAAGGAATTTGTTATATATGAGGACAGCAAATTTATTTGATCTAATTAAATCATTATGGTCATACTTTTTCTATGTTTTTGTTTTGTGTATATTATTTTCTATGTGTGGTTTGTTTCCCCAATGAATATAAAATGAGGAGATCTGACAATAGAACTCATCTTTACTATCATTTTCAACATTTTATTTCTATTGGATGTTTATTGTTTTTTTTTTTTTTTTTTGAAACTGAGGATGTTTATTTTTGCGCTGTTTAATACTAAGGGTCTGACTGGTTGAAACGCGGCGGTTGCGATTACGGTTGCGGGAGTTTGCGGATGTGGGTGGTTGCGGTTTCTAGCGTTATTAGGCGATTTCTACGACTGGTACAGCGATTAAAAACTGGTGCGTTTGCGGGACATTTATGACTGGTTGATTATGAGATACTACAGCGGTTCAATAATAAATTTCCAATATTAACATATTATAACATTATAAAAATAGCAAAACATACTATTATGATTAAAAATAATAACTATTAATATATTATAAGTAATAACAATATTATTTTTATTATTTTTATTTAGATAAAAATATAATATTATAATATAATATAATATAATATAATTAATTATATTTATATATTTATATATTTATATATTTATATATTTATATATTTATATATTTATATATTTATATATTTATATATTTATATATTTATATATTTATATATTTATATATTTATATATTTATATATTTATATATTTATATATTTATATATTTATATATTTATATATTTATATATTTATATATTTATATATTTATATATTTATATATTTATATATTTATATATTTATATATTTATATATTTATATATTTATATATTTATATATTTATATATTTATATATTTATATATTTATATATTTATATATTGAAAAATATAGTGAAATTCTTGATTTAAAGTTTTTATAAATAGATTATGATATTTTTAGTGAATTTAAATTAAAAAATAAAAGGTAGATATAGTTTTAGTTATATTATTTTTATTTTTATATTTTAATTTAAATTTTTAAAAAATAGTTTTTTACCCACCCGCAATCGCCCGCAAACGCAAACGCTAGCTGAAACCAGCTTTTGATTTTAAGAGGTTGGAAGCGGTTTGAAGTGATTTGTAGCGGTTTTTGTGATTGTTGCAAAACGCTAGCAACCGCCATCAACCGCAAAAGCTGCGTTTGCGGGTGGTAGCGGGGAAACCAGTCGGACCCTAAGTGACTTTTAATTAGAGAATACCATTTTTTCTAGAAGAGATGATTATTTAGTGGATGGATGGATAAGTTGCTATTTATATGGAGTATGGATAAGATAATGATAAAATGTGTTTTATAAAAAAAAGCTAATTGGGTCCATCTTCGGAATTGATCCTCCTCCATTCGTACCTCATAAATCTTTTTAAATCAGCCAGTTGATCTTTATTGTTACTAAATTATTTGTATGCATTATAGTAATCAATAATTACACAATTTTCACATATTTTATGTAGTCTAATAGTAATAACTATTGCAAATGTTTTCATAACGATATACATACTAACGTACCACATAAAGAGTTTCATGCCCTCCTTCTCATGTTTTTTATTCATATTTTGTAAGATAGACATATGTGTGGGAATAACTGCTTGGGGTGAAGTGCACTTAGCCAAGTGCTACGTGCGTTACTGGTCGCGTGTCTCTTGTCAATAGAACTCTCTTTTCTTTTTTTTTTTTGCTAAATATATGAATTTCATTACTAAAAATAGGAGGGTTGTGTTTTACAAGAAGTTTGAGCAAGCATGGAAAAAAAGATAAAAACATGGTGAGATCCTGAAAATAACAAAAGTCGAAACAGAGACGACTCATGCCTCTACTCGTTAGCTAGCCACTGCTGCAAGATTCGCCAAACCTTCAACCTAGAGAGTTGTTCTATATATAAGCATGGAAAAAAATAAAATTAAACACAAGCTTGGCAGAGATTTAGCCAATTGATACAGAAGATAAAGCAATGTTAGCAATGCAGTTACTTGGAGCATGGGGGTTTAAAGAAGATATGTTTTGAAGGGGAACTTTTTGTTCTCTATCTCGAGTACAGATTTGGGTTATGTTTGTATTGATAGTTGTTAGGGTTACATTTGTACGTAACCAATGTTAATACGAGGGATAGCGGCAAGTATAAATGTTATAGACTAACCACACATCTATAGATTTACTTTTACCTTCTAAAACTGGTTTTAAAGCAATTTTGTCCCAATCCTAGAAAAGCTTGAATAATTCGAAGGCTAAAGCTAATTGAGATTTGTATGATTTAAACAAAAACTACAGTTGTTCAAAAAAAAAAAAAAACAAAAACTACATTGTTTTTTTTTTTTGAACTGACAAAAAATACAGAACCATATTTTTCTAATTGTTTTTTTTCTGTAGCTCGTCAAACTTATTGGTAAAAATGTGAAAAACCGGCTAATATCAGTGAGATGAATTTTAAAAGAGAAAATGCGACAAAAATATATTAAGTTTTGAGACTAAACATTTGTTTATAAAGTCTATCCATTTATATAGTCCCACAACAAATAAAATAGAGATACAACCAAAGAAACATAAAAAGCGTATATCAATAATGACTGAAATTTATATACTAAATATTGTTGTCCCCGGTAGTAAAAACTCTTGGTTCCGTCCCTGAGTTGGGCTGGCGTCATACTGGATAACGTTTTCTTATACGCTGCACTCAAACAATATGAGTATCAAAAAAATATTAAATCAGTAATCATAGCATCTACATGTAACAATCAAATACAATAAAAATAAAATGTAAAGAAAAAAAGATTTTATTAATAGTCCATGTCAATCAAATCTACTATGATTAAAAGTTGCTAATAAAGCCAAATGAGGCTATCCACGTGGGCAGAAATAATCACCCAATCAAAAGACTCTAAATTGCCACGTCAGCTACAGCGTATTGTTTCAGGTCAAGATATTCGACGCCTCTTTCTTTTCTCATCCTCACGATTCATCATCCTCTCAAGATCTTTGACGCCTCTTTCTTCCTTTCTCACATTCATGCTATATGTGATGATGTGGTGGTTCAGGATGTTAAAACCCAAAAAGATTACTACTGGTCTTCGAATTTGGGTAGATGTCGAATGACCTTTCTGAGACACTTATACTGTTCTGTGTGTGTGTGTGTTGCAGTAGTGAGACCCTCCAACGATGTTCGCCGGACCTTTTGCTCTGTCCCCCCTCTCATACACATACATCCACCGGAACAATCCGACCCAAACACCATCCCACACCGTCTCCTCTCAATCCTCACCAAACCCAATTGGCACAAGTCTCCGTCTCTAAATCAAATCCTCCCATCCCTACGCCCTTGCCATGTGTCCTCCCTCTTCTCACTCGACCTAGATCCCAAAACATCTCTCAATTTCTCCCACTGGATCTCTCAAAACCCTAGATTCAAACACAGCATCTACTCCTACGCCTCTCTCCTCACTCTCTTGACAAGCAATGGGTATGTAGACGTTGTGTTTAAGATCAGAGGGTTGATCATAAAGAGATGCTTTGTTTGTGTTGGATTTATGTAAGGAGATTAATAAAGAGGGAACTTTTAAGCTTAAGCTTGAGTGTTACAACATGTTGTTGAATTCGTTAGCTAGGAATGACAGTATTTAGATTGATTTCTAGCAATTCTTTTCTAACATCTCATTTATCTTTCAATCGATATTTTATCTTGGTGATGAAGATGCAGGAACAAGACACTAAGACAACTAAATACTGTCCTGTGAACACGAATCCAGGGATAGAGGTGATTAGATTCTTTTTTCACGTTTTTTTTAAAGTTGATTGCTTAAAAAGTCATTTTGATGAGATTTGTTATTATCAATGCAGACTTCTCATGTAGGTCTTGCGAAGGAAACACATTCTCCACGTTTTCAAGCCATCTTACGTGTCACAAGTGGGCGGAAGAAGAAGCCTCATGACATCAAGAGCTTCTCTCATGAACTCAACTCCGAAGGTGTTAGGCCTTTCCCCGTGTGGAGATCTCGAGCCGTTGGTCACATGGAGGTTTGTAATTTCTCATAACCTGTGATTGAAAAAGGAAGCTCAGCTGTGATCCATGGATTTATTCCTGCTGCTCGCACCACTCACTACCGTTTCCGTAAAGGTTGTGTGAATCTGACAATAATTTCTTTGTAGTTCTAGCAGAGAACCTTCGATCTCAGAGACTAAGAATTGAAAGAACATATTTTAGTCTTCAATAAATCAACCCTTTTTCACTTATATATGTCTTCTCTTTGCAGAGTGTTTCAGAGGTCGTTGCAGTCTGTGAAGCGATTTAGCCGGTACAAGAATCCAGAAGCTGTTCGAAAAGTTCGAGAGTATCCTCTTTCTCAATTACTTGAAATTACTTGATATATAGTGTTTACCTCATGGTTGCTTTGACATGTTTGCATCTTTATGACAATGTATTGGTTCTGATTTTCTAAGCACTGAATGCTAAATGATACAGGTTCCATTCCTTACCTTTGTGAAAATATACCATATGGTTTACTGAGATAAAATGTTAAATCTTTTCTATCATCAGCTAAGTCGTTTTCATGACACAAGACTTTAAAACCATTTCATTGGACAGCTCTGTGTTCTTGGCAATCTCTGCCATGAAACTACTGAAGAGTAGTGGCAATGGTTTCCTTCTCTCAAGGTATAACAAAGAGCATTCTAACCTTTCCTATTCAGTGGAGTAGCTTTCTTATGTCTGTTGACTTTTGAGATGATGTGAGCGTCTTTCTAGGTCCGCCGCAAATTGCTCTCCACCTGACATTGCCTGATAGCAGCAAGAATGGACTCCTTAAATTGCTTGCCTTAATCTTTCTGAAGATAGTATCTTCTTATTTAAGATATCAATCATTGAAGAAGTTCAGGTTTCCTTACATTGCAGCAATAAGATTGGATATAAGATCATCATGACGGTTGATACATCTCTGCTTTGTGCCTTATTTGAACCATAGATGCTGACTCATACTGCTCTACATATGATCACTTTTACTTTAGATTATGCTTTGTATATTGTCAGGTCCTGTTTCGTAATTATTTGTTTCTTTACTGTTTTACTCATACTGTTTTTCTTTTCCTATAAGATAAATAAATACTACTTAATTGTAAAATGTGGTCGGTCATTGACAATTTGAGATACTAAGACAATACTGTCGGGAACTGATAACGTCACTGATTAACGTCTTAGTGTCCAGTAAAAAGATTTACCTCAGACCCGGACATCGCCTTGCTTCTGACCTAACCATATATTCTCTATGTATAAGGTTTTTATGGTGTGCTTAGTTTTGTAAGCTTTGGTTTCGTATAAGTTGATGTGAAGCCTAAGTAAGAAACTATATGATACCTCGATCTGGTGAACCATAGGAGATTATATGAGTAATAATGAGGTTTATACATGGCACCCTGTTAACCGGATTTCCATTAGCAAACATGATTGAGGCAATCATTGAATGTCAATTAAATTTATAAATTGTCATTCTTATATATATTAAAACACAACTACATTCTTTGGATTTTCTTAGGGAAACATACAATTAGCTCTTCGAGAATATTATTATATTTTATTTCGCTTCTTGAAAACAAGTTTTTAACATGATTTCAGAATTTTTTCAATTCACATCACTTTTAGATTTCAATTGTTCTTCATTACACCATTGCCTTAACACTTAAGAGCGAATTCATACAGATTTTGTTATCACCAAATAATAAGTTAAAAATGTTTAAATTGTCTGTTAATTTAGCCATATTTTTATAAAGTTCAGATAAACGAGATAATATAATAGTTGAATTTTAAAATAAAATTATTTATTCAATTTTTTTACCAACTTATATCTTTTGATATTTAAGAAAATTGATTTTTTTTTTAAAAAAAAAATCAATTAGTATTATTGAAGGTTTATAATATACTTTTAGAGTAATAAAAATATAAAATATACTTTTAGAGTAATAAAAATATTATAATTAGTATTATTGAAGGTTTTTATTAATTTTTCATATAGTTAGTTGAGTATAATATCTTTCAATTACAGAAAATTATCTATAAATTATATTTTACTTATATAATATTATTTTCAAATACAATCACAATTTTGTGTAGTGCTTATTTTCAGAGATATTAAGAACTAAAAATAAATTTAACAATAAACATCGCTTGATCAAATAAGTAGCAATTAGTTTAATGAGCTAGATATATGATATTTTATCATTATTAAAATTATTTGTTTTCTTAATATTAATTTTTCTTTTAAATTTTATGTTTTATGTTTGTGAAACTAAATATAACCATGGATGACTAGGTTGCACGGGTACGCGTGCCGTCTCAAGTACCGGGTTCGGAGGGGGGACAGGTACGGCTCGGGTACGCCTGGGAAACGTCCCCAACACGTGTAAGGTGAACCCGGGACGGCCTGACTCAGCGGGGACGGGCTTGGTCAGAGACCCGAGACATCTCGGAAACGTTTCCAAGCAAAATGGACGTATCCTTTTGATTTTTTGTGTTATGAAATTGAGTCTAAAAATATTAAAAGATGTAATTAAAAAATTTAGGTGTAGATGAGCAACACACAGTTAAATTTTTTCATAAACTTGAAAACACAGAAATTTGTTCAAATTTCTTACCGAAAAAAGTTCTCGGAGAAAGAAAACATAATTTTGGTTTGAGGAAGAAGAAGATGACACCATGTCAAGTGACTATATATGCTTTGACTAACATCTTTAAATATCACACTTCTTTAAAATTTGATTTAGTGTTTATTATTCAGAATATATAAAACAATAAAATAATGTCATCAACTAAAAACCAAATAAATCAGAGCAAAACAATGCTTAGACTTAAACTTTTTGTAAATTTTATACTACTTATAGAATTAACTTGTGATCTGTATATAATATATGTTATATATATAAGTATTTTATTGCCGTATCCCAACCGTACCCGTATCTTAAATTTTTGGTTTTGCCCTTTTCCGTCCCCGTTTCCAATCCCGGTACCCATATCAGTGCTGCTTAGATGGATGAAGTAGTGGAAGCTGCAAAGGTCTCAAACGCTCATGATTTCATCTCTCAGTTCCCTCATGGTTACAATACTCAGGTTAGATTCCAGTTTAATTTACAAATTGCGTATGTTTTTTCTTTAAAGGTTGGATCAAGATTCAAAAGCTATATTACAAAACAGGTAGGAGAGAGAGTGCAAATGTCAGGGGAACAACAGCAGAGGACAGCAAGTGCACGTGGAATAATTAAATCACCAAATATTCCTCATTTAGACGAGGCAACAAGTGCATTGGACTCAGAATCTGAAAGAGTAGTCCAAGAAGCCTTGGACAATGCCTCTCTTGGTCGTACACCAATTGTTATAGCCCACCGTCTCTCTATTATTCGTAACTCTGATGATATTTGTGTCTACTCTAATTTTTTTGTAAAATTTATATCAAAATAACTTAAAACAAATTATGTCAAAACATAAAAATTGTATATGCTAAATAACCTAAATAATTAACGAAACTTTCTGGCTTTTGGTGTGTACCACTAAAATAAATCATCATATACTACTAAACTAAAAACTAAAATAAGTTTATGGCTCTTGATTATGCACAGTAAATTGCATCACAAATGTTTTTTAATTAGTTGTTACTTCCAGTCTATCATTTACATATATACCATTGGTTTTTGACATAATTTATTATAATGTTATACCAAATAAGTTTGCTAAAAGATCAATTTAGATTAGAACATCAGCAATTAATGCATTTTGAGAAGGTTTTACAAATTTAGAAAAATTTCTATTTTGCTTTCCGTTATTTCAAATCCATTTTTTTTTAAAACACCATTTTAATCTGTCTAATAAGTAATTTAATAGCGTAAGAAAATAATAGAAGTATGTTTTTACTCGAACATACAAAAAGTATTGCAAGGTTATATATATTCTCTTACCACTACAACAATGACTAATATATCTGTGTATTTGAAATGTACATAAACCAAAGTACGTTTATGTAGTATCAAAACCTGGAATCATTCATATTAAAATCTGCTATAAATTTCACATTATTAAAATAAATTATTATTAACAAAGGAAAGGATTATGCAATGGCACACATATGATCCTAACCTACATAGGCGATCGCGTGTTGAAGTTAGAAATTATCACCGGGTCACACATTGGAAAAGAAATCTTAATCCCAAGAATTATCCTTTTGCATCATGAAACAAAGCTATCTTTCACATTACATCGACGATAATTCCCTATCAGATTGTGTTACGCAATGACCATGAACAAAATCCAAGGCCAAAGTCTAAAGGAGGTCATCTTATATCTACCTAAACCAGTCTTCGCTTATGATCAACTTTGTGTGGCCTTCTTGCGTGTAACAAGCAAAACTAATCATAATTGTAAGTTGTTACAAAAACGAGGATTCACATCAGCTAAAAATGAAGAACATAGTCTACAAAAAAATATTCAAATATCTTCCTCACCACAGAGGTATTTAAATTAAAGATTAACAGTTCCATATCATTTATCTTAAAATATATTCTCAACAGATTTAAAATGCCCAAGAGAAACTATAATCACATAGAGATTGAGTTACACATAGTCGCTATGCAGCTAAGCCAGATATATATCTTTTGTATATAAGTTAAGGTATATAGGTATTGCTTAACTTTAGGTCAATAATTTGATCTTTATTATTTTCAGGATATTTCTTTCATACGATCTAGATTGCTGATATCTATCTTCTCTTCTTCCAAACACATTATCTCTTTCTTATTTTATTTAAGATCATTTAAGCTACTCTTTTTTATTTTTTAATGATTGGTAACACTTAATAATCACCAAGTTTACATAATTATTAAAAAATACATTGTTATAAATCCAAAATTGTATCAAAAATTATGATCCTAAACAAAACTAATTAACCACGTATCCGCGCGTAGCGCGGAGAAACACCCTAGTACTAATAAACAATGAAAATATTTAACTAACATACATGGTGAAGAATCTAAATCTTAACCTATGCTGAATATGTGTACCGTTGATTCAAGAGTAACTAACTACATCATATAACCTAACCGACCCTTACGTTACCTAACATTAAATTTGATTTACATTAATCACGGTAAAAAAATAAAGGCATTTACCGTGGCCAGTGGCTCCACGCGACCAGTAACGCACGTAACACTTGGCTAAGTGCACTTCACCCCAAGCAGTTACTCCACACAACGACTTCAGCTGTAAGTTCGCTTCCTTCAAACAATCGTCAGTCACTCACACTATAAGATCTTCAGTACACTGCGCCACAGCTTGCGCTCCCTCTCCTATCCAAGCTCTGTAAGGTACGTTTGTGGGGCCCACTACAAAACTCACCATCTTACTGGTCTTAGTCAACTCGTCCGAGCTATACCCCCACGGTGTCCCGCATACCCTAGCCAGCAACGTCTTATTCGCCACGCCCAAGAACTTAGTGTTCTCATACTCAACGAAACAACCTTCGAGAAGCAACGTACCACCTGCTGCACCCCCGCAGAGACTTTGTAGTATGCGAGAAGCTTGCGCGACGCATCTAGCGCAATCATCGGAACGTGTGGAGAGGTCACTGTGGCAGTGGTGCATCCCGTGGACGGTTTTGCCGTAGTTTCCGACAGTGAAATGGTTGTATGTGAAGACATTAGCTGAGTTTACGAGGGAAGTGAGTAGAGAGTTGACGTTTGACTCGTAAGTCGATCCAGGAAGGTACTTAGAGAAAAAANTTGCGCGACGCATCTAGCGCAATCATCGGAACGTGTGGAGAGGTCACTGTGGCAGTGGTGCATCCCGTGGACGGTTTTGCCGTAGTTTCCGACAGTGAAATGGTTGTATGTGAAGACATTAGCTGAGTTTACGAGGGAAGTGAGTAGAGAGTTGACGTTTGACTCGTAAGTCGATCCAGGAAGGTACTTAGAGAAAAAAGACGATCCTCGAAAGTAGTTTGGGTGCGTGCAGTGGTGGTAGTAGAGAAAAGTATTGTTGTCGGAAGGAGATGAGAAGTTTCTGATGAGAGATGCGGCTGCGATGACGACGGAGATGGTAATAATTGTGTTGAATGGTGACATGACTTTCTCTTTCGCTAGAGTATTTTGGAAAATTGAAATTGTTAAAACCATCTATTAATTTTGAAAAGTATTTAGTTATGGTGGCAGACAACTCTTTATCTTTCACGGCTTTTCTAAATAAATAATGCCAAAAATTATTAATTTACAAAGACCTACGAGCAACTTTATATAGTTAACAAAAAAAGTTGGTATGATATGATTACAATTTTTGCAACCTTAAAGTAGCCATGGGAATTAGTAATAATAATAATCCAATAAATAACATAAAGTTGTTGATATTTGTCATGTCATGATCACTTCCGCTGATGTGCTCTCTTTTGAACATATGTGATTATTTGAAATTTGGAACATAGGCGGCTAGAGTTCTTTAAAAAAATCAAAAAAATGAATTAACAAAAAAGAAAAAAAAATTAAAAACCAATTTTTAAAATAGAATTTTTGGAATTAAGTAAGAACTCCTAACGTGTCATTTTTTATTGTTTCATTTTGTTTCTGTCTTTCTTTCTTTCTCCTTCATTTTTTTTCTTTTTTCCTCTCTTAAAAATCCTTGAAGGATTTTGTACCATTAGACATGACAAAAAAAAAAAACATTAACAATTGAAATCGAATTTGATTGAGAATATATGTGAAAATTTTGGAACAAGTCAAGATTTCAACTAATCGATTTTTCTCGTTTACGATTAGTATTTGTATTTTTAATATGTTGTATGTCATTTTTAATAAAAAAATTATGTATCATTTATCATTCAACTTTAAAAAAAAAAATAGTAATCTTTAAGAACCTCAATGAAGTTCTTCTAATGGAAGATGGAAAAAATAAATAAATTAACCAAAGTTCTAAAATTATCAAATCACAAAAATAACCACTAATTTAGTCTCAAGAATCCATTAGGGTCTCCAATGGATGGAGGTGGTCTAAGCTATTTCCAACGCTTGACAAGCAATGACATATTATATATATATATATATATTTATATCTGTCTATATAAATCAAAAGAAAACAAGGCAGAGTCTGGAAACGCATCAAGAACACAAGAAGCAAAGCAAGGAAATACCAACTCAAGAGAATCTCTTATAGAACACCATGACTATGCAAGATGGAAACAAATAAATCAAGACGGGAAAAACCATTGAGCATCCTTGAGCTTTAAGTTAGAGAGACTAGGGAAGTGTTTGATGGTCTTTGTTGCAAGATTGTATACACAGATGTCAATATATGAATCTCTCTTGTGACAGAAACGGTCATCACGGGTGAAATAGATGGAGTTTGGCTCAATACCAAGGGTGTGGTCAGCAGGCACGGTGATACCCAAATCAAGAAACAAGGCCTCATCACCTAGAGAATCCACCTTAATAAATTTGGTGTCCTGCTCCTTGTAGAGATGAAACATCCTGTGCCTTTCAAAGCTAAAAGACTCGTAAGCTAATGTTTGGACCATCAAAACCTCTTGTGATGTTGTAACAGCAATGTTATTGATCAATGAGAAGATCTTATTTGCTCTGGTCGGTCTCTCATATTCATCCGTACGCAGTAAAGGCCATAACATCTTCGACACAACCTCAAAACTATCATGTCCCGACAAAACCAGGTGTTCAGTGTATCTCGGTTCCGAATGGACGTAAAGACTGTAACCTTTGAGTACCATATCTTTTAGGCCATAGAACCGAAGATCGACCTGTGTTGAAATCTCACGGTAATGAACATCCCCTTTCTTCCAAAATCGTAGATACGGACATGCTTCAAAACCCCACACAACAACGTAGTCTCTCTTCTTCTCGTCTACCCACAACACAGCTCTCAGATCTTTGGTAGTTACAAGAATATTCGCAGAAGAGTTGTAAGGCGTCGCTTCTTCAATAAATAACTCGAACCCCTTATCTCCTCCTAATCGCTCAATATTATAAAGAGAACTCTTGACTCTCTCTAGAGGTGGAAGACGGATCCTCTCATTGCTAAACACGTTTATGATATAGAGATCTAATCTAGAATCTACCACAAGGAACCACTTACCTGAGCTTCCTAGGAATCGGTAGTCATTTTTCGTCTCGTAAACCCTATCTTCCTCAGGGTTGTACATATGATAACTGACCTCTTCTTGAGACATTATTATTATTTTTTTTTGAATTGAATGTTAAATTTAATTCAAAGAAAAAAGACCTTGTTACATCCAATTGTATACTTTCCTAAATTCTTATACAAGAAATAAAACAAGAATGAAAACGGTTCAAACTTCTGCCTCTCAACTCAACAGGTGCTCGATTTCTCTACTACTCCCTTTTATCTTCACTTCAGCCAAAAACCAACACCAATTCATACCCAGCCTTAACTCCTCCTTATCAATCTATTTAGCTCTCACTCCTACTAAATAGCCAGCTCTCACTCCTACTGGTACCATCCATCCCTTCTCCTTACAACCAATCTATTTCCAACAAAATCTATCTTGTTTGAAACCAGTACCGCATCCCTTCATCCATACTACTATCACCTTTCCTTCTTGAGACATTATCAGCATTGGAGATCCGGCTTTTGGTCCCAACGTCTGCTTGGAACACAAGTACCAGTTCGAACACACCATCTTAGCGCGGTGGAAATCTACAAAATTCAAGTGTTCCAACACACATCTCAACAAGTCCATTGGGAGTTCAGACCAGCGGTCGCAGTTAGGAGTCTCCATGGTTTCTTGCTGGAAAGGTTTCTCCGTGATTTACTTATATAAATATTTCATGAAATGATCTTTTAAAATTAATTACGAATCTCAATTCTAAAGTGAAATTAATTTTTCCTGATTTTCTTCTAAATTTATTAAAAATCAAATAATGACTAATTGAAACATAATATATTTTTAATAAAGATAGATATTCCATAGAAAAAAAACATCAAATAGACCCAAAACATTTGTTTGTTCCCAAGTTACCTCATAAGTATCAATAGGCATGGGCAAAATTGAAATATCCAAAACCGAACTGGTACCAAATTGAAATATCCAAAACCGAAACCGGACCGAAATTCTTAAATATCCAAATGGTTCTTATATTTCTATACCCAAAAATCTGAACCATAACCAGAACCGAACCGAGAACCGAACGGGTATCCGAATATCTGGAAAAAAAAAGTTTAAAAAAAAAAAAAAAAGATAAAATGACATCAAGCCCACTTGAACCCATGTTAGATACAAAGAGTAAGTACATTTTACCACCAAACCACGTTATGTTTTATTTATTCTGTTATATTATAAATATATAAGGTATTTCTATATTAAAATATGATAAATATTAATAAAATTAACACTTTATTGATTCAACTCTTGTTGGATTGACGAATATGTAAGTGTGTAAACACTAGACCATTTAAATTAACATATTAACTAATATATTCTGTATTTATATATATATATATATATATATATATATTTAATTTATATATTAAATGGGTACCCGGAACCGAACCGAAACCGAAACCGAACCAAACCGAAATCTCATAGGTACCTATTGGATATAAGAATGATTTATTCGATATACCCGGAACCGAACCGAATATCCGAATGTCCAGGCCTAAGTATCAAAGTGTTCAATATATATAATCTATTAATTTAGGATCATATTTTTATCTACCATAAAAAGACATAATAGGTCCATTTCATTAATATAACTTATTTGATTGTGCATTGATTAAATATATGATATATCTACAAAATATTCATAAAGAATATTAATAATAAATTAATTTTAAAATAAATTTAAATATTATTCTTAGATAAAGCAAAATCAATTGAAACAAAATCTTATTAAAAAATTAAAATATTTTGTTGATAAAATAATACATTAAATAATTCATTGATTAGTTACATATAATATTATAAACTAGTATTAACTGAAATTTTATTATAAAATAATAATTTATATGTTATTCTCTTATAAATTTTGTAACTATAGTGTTTATTATATTAAAATATTTTATTTTTACAATTTTTTTCTAATTAAAAGTCCTATATTCTTCCAACTCAAAAATAATTATGTAATTTTCAAAATTTCTCTTGAAAAATATGAAATTATGAAAACAAATATTTCATATTTAAAATCACAATATTACAAATTTTATTAAATATAAAATCCTAAAGTATAATTTTTTGAAATCCAACACAAAAAAATAATAATTACGCTATAAAAATCAAAAGTACTATAATAAATTTAAATCTTAATTTAATAACAAAAATAGAACATTTAATTCCAACTATATCAAATATAGATAATATTTACTAATACAATATTTTTCCATAATTAATTTATATTTTTATAATATTTGGAATAGATATCTATAGCTGTAATCTATAATATTTAAGGAACTGAAATTATATTCATTTAAATAAATAATATTTTGTAGAAATTTTTTTTACCAAATATAAAATATTGCAAAGTTAAAATAAATCGGAAAATAATATTTTTGTTTACTACTACCATTACACGAATTTAGAGTTTTTAAATATTTAACATAACAATGTATTTCATGATAATATACTCAATATATTAAAATGCTAAAAGCTAAAGTATATATAGTTTTAAACACAACACGATAATATATATTCCTCTAAATTATTTTTTTTCTATAGTATAACTAAATAAATATTAAAATATATTGCATGGAAACTGTTAAATTTGAAAAAAAAAATGGAAGTAGATGTGCTATTTAATTATTCTAGATTATTAGTTATTGTACCGAAGTCTAAAAATATATTAGTATGTAATAAAAATTAATAACAAAGTAAACTATGTATAAAATAAATCTTTACATATTAAGAGTGTTGAATAAGAAAAATAAATAATAAGAAGGTTACATAGTATATAATAATAAATATAAATTATATATTTAAAATATTTACTGTAATATCAAAGTTATATTTTTATAAAATAAAAAAATATCCGCACTTTTAAAATATAGTGTTTCATTAATTTAAAGGGGCAAATAACAATTGTACTCTTTTTACAAATAAATAAAATAAATATTTAAATAAAAAGTTTGAATAACTTTCTTCATTTTTTTTTTCTAATTTCTTGTTTTGCAAAAAAACTTTCCAATTTTTTCTATAATACGGTTTTTCTCAAAAAAATTCGAAAGACATTCTTGAATGTGCATTAACTTGATTTGGTAATAGTACAACAACAAAAGCTGTGCAGTTACATTCAACTCATGTGTAGTATTCCTTCAAGTAGACAGGATCGGGTTTGTAAGGATCTATTTCGCCATAAGCTTCTGGTCGATCAAACCGAGGTCGTTGAAACGGTTCCTCAGAAAACATTACGAACAACGAATTGGTTAAGTAGTTAAAACTCTCATATATATATTAACTACATTGAGATTTCATTATGGATGAGGTATGTTTTCATTAAGAGAATCAAACTACTCAGCCTCAGTTTAGAGGAATGTATGTACGGGTCTGGACAAACCCAAAACCTCTTCATCAAAAACGGTGTTAACAAGCCAAAATAGCCTTGCAATATCATAAACAAGAAACAAGCTCAACCTTCACCAAACAAACTTTGAGAGTAGTTGGAACGACATTTGAAATGTTGAGATCAAAGCTAAGTTGTAGTCGATGGCGTGGCTAAAAGAAACTTTTAACTCTTGACTGATGCTTCCATGTGATGATTTGAAATTTGGAACATAGGCGCTAAGCTATTTTTTTAAACACTTGGCAACCAATGTCATAGATTATATACATATATATATGAAAGAAACAAAAGGATAACCAGGAAGTCTGAAAATGTATCAAGAACACAAAAATGCACCAGAAAAAAAACAAAGCAAGGTAATACTAACGCAAGAGAATCTCTGATAAAAAAACCAACACTATGCAAGATGGAAATAAATAAATCAAGAGGGGAGAAACCACTGAGCATCCTTGAGCTTTAAGTTAGAGAGACTAGGGAAGCGTTTGATGGTCTTTGTTGCAAGATTGTACACACAGATGTCAATATATGAATCTCTCTTGTGACAGAAACGGTCATCACGGGTGAAATAGATGGAGTTTGGCTCAATACCAAGGGTGTGGTCAGCAGGCACGGTGATACCCAAATCTAGAAACAAGGCCTCATCACCTAGAGAATCCACCTTAATAAATTTGGTGTCCTGCTCCTTGTAGAGATGAAACATCCTGTTCCTTTCAAAGCTACTAGACTCGTAAGCTAATGTTTGGACCATCAAAACCTCTCCTGATGTTGTAACAACAATGTTATTGATCAATGAGATGATCTTATTTTCTCTAATCAGTCTCTCATATTCATCCGTACGCAGTAAAGGCCGATATATCTCCGACACAACCTCAAACCTATCCTGTCCTGACAAAACCAGGTGTTGAATGTTGTTCGGAACCGTTCGGACGTAAAGGCTGTTACCTTTGAGTACCATATCTTTTAGGCCATATAACCAAAGATCGAACCGTGTTGAAATCTCACGGTAATGAACATCCCCTTTCTTCCAAAATCGTAGATACGGACATGCTTCAAAACCCCACACAACGACGTAGTCTCTCTTCTTCTCGTCTACCCACAACACAGCTCTCAGATCTTTGGTAGTTACAATAATATTCGCATGTTCAATAAACAACTCGAACCCCTTATCTCCTCCTAATCGCTCAATATTATAAAGAGAACTCTTGACTGTCTCTAGAGGTGGAAGACGGATCTTCTCATTGCTAAACACGTTTATGATATAGAGATCTGACCTAGAATCTACCACAAGGAACCACTTACCTGAGCTTCCTAGGAATCGATAGTTACTTTTTGCCTCGTAAACCCTATCTTCCTCTGGGTTGTACAGACGATAACTACCCTCTTCTTCAGACATTATCAGCAGTGGAGATCCGTATCTTGGCCCTAACGTTTGCTTGGAGCACAAGTACCAGTTCGAACACACCATATTAGCTCGGTGGAAATCTACAAAACTCAAACGTTCCAACACACATCTCAACAAGTCCACTGGGAGCTCAGACCAACGGTCGCAGTTAGGAGGAGTCTCCATGGTTTCTTGCTCGAAAGGTTTCTCCGTGGTTTACTTATATAAATATTTCATGAAATAATCTTTTATATATTTGCTTTTTTAAAAAGATAATTAATTACGAATCTCAATTCTATAGTGAAATTAATTTTTCATAGTTTTCTAAATTTATTAAGAACTATAATAATGATTAATTTAAACATAATAAAAATAGATATTCTATAGAAAAAGCATAAATCTATACTATTAAAACACAAGGCCCTTTTTTCAGGCGCCCTTCTGTTTCAACAATATTTACAGAACAATGCCACTCCATAATTTTTTAAGATATGCTTTGTATTAAAGCGGTTTTACCCGATACAAGTGGGTTTGACCCGATAGAATATTCTAAAACAATACTTTTTATTTAATTCTGTTTTCTGTTTTTTTTTATTTATGCAGCAAAAATCACACATTTAATAAATATAACCCTTTTCATTTATTTATAGATGCTTTCGAGATAACATTGCCTATATATTTGCATGATATAACACATATATATTTGTCATGTACGTTTTGAATCAAACACATCCTTCCATCCATATTACGAAATAAATGTGCATACGATTATATAAATTAATGTACATACAAACATTACTATCTCATTAAAATGATGAATCGACGTATATGTTTAGTAATACATAATTACGAGTAATCCTCTGCATATTTTGTTTTATTTATGCTTATTCTTTAGAATATACCGATTGTAGCATTTCGAATAAATTTTTTCTGAACCATAACGAATTTAACAAATTTGTTTTGTAAGTCGAAATTTTTTTCTTAAATAAAAAAATATCCTTCTTAGCATAAAATTCTGTTTGTGCAATCTTAACTAAAGTTGTAATCTATTCATAGAATAATCAAATCAATAATTATATATATATATAATTAAATAAATAAATAAAAACTAAACTTTACTCAAATAAACTANATAAAAAAATATCCTTCTTAGCATAAAATTCTGTTTGTGCAATCTTAACTAAAGTTGTAATCTATTCATAGAATAATCAAATCAATAATTATATATATATATAATTAAATAAATAAATAAAAACTAAACTTTACTCAAATAAACTAAAATCTCGGTAAGTTGTTAAATTAAAAAACAAATATAGTAGATCGTAAATAGCTGAGCAATCTAAGTATTATCATATATTTAAAATATCAGTAACAACCAATCATAACATAAAAATCGCAGCATTTAGTAACTTAAATCTATATAATTAAAACAATAAAATCTAATCTACCATATTTTGAATAAACTTGATCCGCAAGATCACAAAACACACGGCTAATTTTAACACATACACTTTATAATGAATTTAGATTTTAACGCATACAGTTTATAATGATTTAACAAATTCCATTAACACACATTAACTGAATTTCAAGGTTTTAAATATAATTTAGCAGATCAAACTGGTATTCATTAGAAATATATTATTCTTATCTACAACTAACTACTAACGTGAATCTCTAATAAATCTATTGTTGTTACCATATATTCTATAATAAATACTTAACAATAATATCTTAGTATTTAACTTAGTTTCAAAAGGTAATAAACTTTAACACCGTAAATTGTGTTGCAAGCTAAACAAAATATCATCTTCAACTCATTATATAAAGGTATTCTCATTTCAATAATCGACACATCCGCTTTTTGTTTTCATAGCTTTTTTGTTCTTTTTTTTCAACAAATTATAGTTCTAATTTAAACGTCACGCTTATGATTTTATACAGGTCTAACAGAGACTGGGATGATGGCTACAATCAAAAGAGATTCGTGACTTATATGTGAATTTTTTTGTGTTAGTTATTTGTTTTCCTAATTGTTTGCTTAATTTAATTATGTTATCATGTTAATTTAAATTTCATGTTTGATGGTAACCACATTGACATAGTGATGTGTGTCCGTTCAGATAACAGGAATCAAAGGAGGTTATAGCTCATACAAGAAATAAAACGTTTAAAGAATGGAAGCGATGTAATTGATCACCTCGATAACTTTCATGTAACTTCAATTTTTTTCCAGAATTCATGGTGTCTTTTGGTATATTGTTTTCTCACTTCAATTTGTGCTTTGTGATCTCACATGTTCATCTGGATCAAACCAAGGAACAGATATGACCGAAAATAGGTGCAGTTTTCATCGGAGTTTTGATGTTTCTTATCTTTTTGCATCGAGTTTTATCAACATCGAGGTTTATTATAGCTAACTATAATTTTTTTTCATAAGCTATAATTTCTTTATTTTATTTCAGCTTTAGGTATGTATTTTGATCTCAATTATGATCTGAAAAAAATAATATTTTGGACATTTATAATTGCATCTTTTTCGCTAACAATAATGTGAAAGTATATATGTATAATCAAAAAGAGAAGTACTATTTTTATCTACCATTAAGAAGTCTTACTAGGTCCATTTCATTAATTGCATAATATAACATAATAATCAATAAAATATTAATAATAAATCAATTTTGATTATTAATTTTAATTATTAATTTTAATTATATTTTTAGTTATAAAGAAATCTGTTGAGAAAAATCTAACAAAATCCTACTAAACTTTTTAAATATTTTTTTATTAAATAATGCATTAATTAATTCGTAATTAAGTAACATAATATTAGTTTAAATTATATTAATTAAATTTTATTATAAACTAAAAATAAAATAGATTGATATTTTTAATAAATTTATAATTATAGTCTATATCTTCTGTATTAAAAGAGAAGTACCATTTTTATCTACCATTAAGAAGTCTTACTAGGTAGACATATGGATTTTATAATATTTATTTAAAAAATATCATGCGTGGTGATGTAAAACTAAAAACCTAATAAAATGAATATTGTTCGGATTATGCGGGTATTTCAAAATTGTAACAATTCATATTGATTTAAATGAATAGTGTCTTTTAATTTGAAATAAAATTAAATAGAAAAAGATATTATTTTATTTATACATTCCAAATCATTATTTTTTACATACCATATATAACTACAATTATCATTATCATTTCTGCATTGTATACGGGTCAAAAATTCATTTTGATATATATATATATATATATATATATATATATATATATATATATATATATATGGGAATAAGCTAAAATTTCTTGAATATGGTCATTTGCTTCAGGTCACAAAATATTTATCAAGTCTAAACAGGTTAAACTAATATATTTGTCATTTTTATTATAAACTAATAAACGGATTAATAGTTTGATTAACAAAAACGAAATCCCGCGCTTTCAAAGAGCGGGTCAAAATCTACAATATTTACAGATATGCCACTAGAATATTTAAAACCTATGATTTTTATTTAATTCATTACAAAATCTATTTAATCCTAACAAAATCTATTTAATCCAACAATATTAATTTTAAGCTTTTTTAAATAACCAAATAACAATAAAATCTAATANAAATATTTTTCAATATTTTAAAATATTTACACATGATGCAATTATGATTTAAAATGACCAAATAAATGTTAATTTTTAAGTTTAAATAAATAACTACAAAGATTGCATTTTAAAATCAATATGACATAAATTTACTAAATATATGCGCTTAAAAACTATAATTTTACATAAATTTTAATTATTTTTTAAATAAATATTTAAAATTTTAAAATAAAGTTGATTTTACAAAATTAATCTTCAATTAATGAAGTAGAAATTTTACAATTAATATTTACAGATTGTTTCATTTAATATGTTAAATATTTCTTGAGTACAAATGGATCTCACAAATACATTTTTTTATTTCTATTGTATTCTAACAAACGAGTTAATAATTTTATCAACAAGAAACGGGTCTCTGTCTAGGAATGATTCAAAAACGAATTGGTAATATATATCTAAAAATAATTTTTATTTAAAAAATCAATTTTAACCAATATGAAATTATTAAAAATTAATTATCTTATTTCAGTTTTTACAAATCAATACTTTAGATTACCGAATAGAACTCATAATTTTATCGGGTCCCTATAATTTGTTATTTAACTAAAACGAATAAAAAAATAAATCCTACACCACACATTAAATTGTACGTAATTTTATTTAATCTATATATGTCGGGCCAAACCAAATTATTAACGACAATCGATCTGAACCCGGATACTCATGCCTATACATACTTGTGAATAATCGAACAAGGGCATAAATTTAAAGCAAAAACGGTTGACCCGCCCTCTTTAAGGGTGGGTCAAAATCTAGTACACGGTTATAATAGAAAAACGACATCAAATAGACCCAAAACATTTTTTTGTTCCCAAATTAGCTCATAAGTATCAAAGTGATCAATTATATGTTTCATTAAAGGGGAAAATAACAATTATACTCTTTTCTACAAAAACATTAAATAAATATTGGAATAAAAAGTTTGAATTACTTTTTTAATTTTTTTTTTTCAAATTTCTTGCTTTGGAAAAATGTTTCCAATTTTTTTTAGAATACGGTTTACTCAAAAAAATTTGGAAGAAATTTCTTATTGTGAATGGTATGTTTCTGAATTTGAGTTATATATGCACGTTTTCAAAAAAATATTACTAAATAAGTATAATATCTTGTTAAAATATAGGAAGATATTGATAAATATGTATAATATCTTCAGTAATCAGGAAAATTTTCATAAATGTGTGTTTAAAACTAGATTCTTAAATTATATTTAGGAAGACTTTCATGAATATATATTTATGATAACATTATTCAATTTGATTTATATGTATATTTAGTAAGATATTCTTAAACATGTATAATCTTCTTAAAGTTTTATCAATACTTTCGTGAGTTTTCTTAATACTAAACTAGATTTTGACCCACGTTTTTCAAGCGCGGAAATTTTTTATGATTAAAATTTTATATAATTGGTTTTTGTCTTTATTTGTAGTAAGTTTTGGTATAAAATCGGTACTCCGAAATTTGTGGTGATAATTGTTTTGCATTAGTTTTTGTTTCATTTTTTTATTTTTAAATACTTTCGTGAGTTTTCTTAATACTAAACTAGATTTTGACCGACGTTTTTCAAGCGCGGAAATTTTTTATGATTAAAATTTTATATAATTGGTTTTTGTCTTTATTTGTAGTAAGTTTTGGTATAAAATCGGTACTCCAAAATTTGTGGTGATGATTGTTTTGCATTAGTTTTTTGTTTCAGTTTTTGATTTTTAAATTTGGTTTTAGATTTAGATTTTTAGTTTTTAAAATTCTATTTTTGATTTTTAGTTTTTAGATCCATTGAGTTAGTTTAAACTGATATTACCAACACACAAATCCCAAATAATCGAACATCTAATTTAAAATTGAAAAGATGATAATTTTTTTTTAAAAAAATTGTGGTAGTTTATTTTGTAAATAAACAAAAACAAAAATATAACCCGTGTTTTCAGATTTTGGTTTTGCTTTTTAGTTTTTAGATTTGGTTTTTGGTTTTTTCTTTACATTTCTTTAAAAAAAATTATTTAAGAAAAATAAAAATAATAAATTATAAATTATTTAAAAATTACCATTAAAATTTATCAAAACGGAGTGATTGTTATTTAAAATAAAAATACATTAACATGTTTTAAAGTACATGATTTAAATAAATGATTAATAATGGATAATTTTGTTTTGTTAAAAATATTAAATATCTTTGGACCTCAAATAGTAATAGATTTTTTTATCCATTAAAATGGAAAGTTTAATCAATATTTTTTTGGAATTTCCTCTTAATACTAAGCCCAAAAACCATAACATATAATTTATCCTAAAAACAAAAGTAAGTCCAAGACTTCATCCCATAGATAACTGTTGATTTGTAATATTCTAAAAAGAATACAAATTTAAATCACAATTTGTATCAATAGATAAAAAGAAGAAATCTGTTTTAATATAGTAGATTGCATGAACAAGGTTCTTCCAGCGTGATTATGTTTGGCGAACACCCTTGATGAGCCAGTTACGTTATCATGAATCGGAAGAAACATACTAACGTTGATAAGCATTGAAATGTAGCTAGTTTTAAGAAAATGGGTTCTCAAAATCTTTGACAGAGTTTGTTCCCAATGAGTTTTAGTATCTGTTCATGGTTACAACTACTCTATATAGGCGGCTAAACACTTGGCAAGCGATTCTATATATTCTATCAAAAGAAAAATACGAGAACAAGGCAGAGTCTGAAAATGTATCAAGAACACAAGAATGCACCAGAAATAAACAAGAAAGGAAACACCAACTCAAAAGGATCTCTCATAGAAGACCAAGACTATGCAAGACGGAAACAAATAAATCAAGAAGGGAGAAACCATTGAGCATCCTTGAGCTTTAAGTTAGAGAGACTAGGGAAGCGTTTGATTGTCTTTGTTGCAAGATTGTAGACACATATGTCAATACATGAAACTCTCTTGTGAACGAAATGTTCATCACAGGAGAAATAGATGGAGTTCGGCTCGATACCAAGGGTATGATCAGCAGGCACAGTGATACCCAAATCTAGAAACAAGGCCTCATCACCTAGAGAATCCACCTCAATAAACTTGTTGTCTAGCCTCTTGTAGAGGTGAAACATCCTGTGCCTTTCAGAGGTAGACTCGTAAGCTTTTGTTTTGACCATCAAAAGCTCTCCTGATGTTGTAACAGCCATTTTATTGCTATATGAGCTGACCTTATATACTCCCGTTCCAAAAAGTACATCCGTACGCATTTGAGGCCAATATATCGTCCACACATCCTCAAAAATATCTCGTCCCGACAAAACCAGGTGTCGAATGGAGCTCCATTCCGTTTGGACGTAAAGACTGTAACCTTTGAGTACCATATTGTTTAGGCTTTGGTACCGAACATCGCCATGTGTTGAAATCTCACGGTAACGAACATCCCCTTTCTTCCAAAATCGTAGATACGGACATGCTTCAAAACCCCACACAACGACGTAGTCTCTCTTCTTCTCGTCTACCCACAACACAGCTCTCAGATCTTTGGTAGCTAGACAAAGCCCCTTAGAGAACGTCGCCTCACGTTCAATAAATAACCCTTTATCTCCTCCTAATCGCTCAAGCTTATAAAGGGAACTCTTGACTGTCTCTAGAGGTGGAAGACGGATCCTCTCACTGCTAAACACGTTTAGGATATAGAGATCTGACCTAGAATCTACAATAAGGAACCACTTACCTGAGCTTCCAAGAAATCGATAGTTACTTTTCGCCTCGTAAACCCTATCTTCCTCTGGGTTGTACAGACGATAACTACCCTCTTCTTGAGACATTATCAGGAGTGGAGATCCGTATCTTGGCCCTAACGTTTGCTTGGAACACAAGTACCAGGTCGAACACACCATCTTAGCTCGGTGGAAATCTACAAAACTCAAACGTTCAAACACACATCTCAACAAGTCCATTGGGAGCTCAGACCAGCGGTCGCAGTTAGGAAGAGTCTCCATGGTTTCTTGCCGGAAACTTTCTCCTTGATTTTTTTGAGGCAAATCTCCTTAATTTACTTATATAACTTTTTCATGGATTGATCGTTTTTTTTTCAAGAAAATTAATTAGGAATCACGATTAGGTTGTCAAATTATTATTTTTCCTGATTTTCTTCTAAATTTATCAAGGAGTAAAATAATGATTAACTTAAACATAATAATTATCTAGTTAATCTTATTATATAAAGCTTGGTTTTCAAAGTTACTAATTAACATGATTGTGACATGTGGCAATTACATATCTAAGATTATGACATAAGTTAAATCATAATTTTCCTTTTTTTTACTTAAATACTTAACCTAAACGAATTTATTTTTGTCTTACAATTTTCCTTCTTAAAAATACACTTGAACTAAACAAATTTAAATCATAACTTTCCTTTGTAAATACTCAAACTAAAAATGAATTTGGAACGCTATCACGTTAAGAGGAGGTGTTTTGGAATAAAAATGAATTTCCTTTTTTCTTACAATTTTATTTATAAAAAATACTCAAACTAAACAAATTTATTTTTTTCTTAAAAATAATTATTTAATAGTAATTTTTTCTTTTTAAGTTAAAAAAGGAATTCATAATTATCTTTTTTTTTTAGGATTTGTAAAAAGGAAAATTAAAATACAAAGAATATTACCTTTTTACTATTAAATTAAATTTATTTTTTTCTTAAAAATAATTAAACCAAGTTACTAATTAACATGATTGTGACATGTGGCAATTACATATCTAAGATTATGACATATGTTAAATCATAATTTTCCTTTTTTTTTACTTAAATACTTAATCTAAACGAATTTATTTTTTTCTTACAATTTTCATTCTTAAAAATACACTTAAACTAAACAAATTTAAATCATAACTTTCCTTTTTAAATACTCAAACTAAAAACGAATTTCCTTTTTTCTTACAATTTTATTTATAAAAAATAATCTGACTAAACAAATTTATTTTTTTCTTAAAAATAAATATCTAATAGTGATTTTTCCTTTTTAAGTTAAAAAAAGGAATTCATAATTATATATATTTTTTAGGATTTTTAAAAAGGAAAATTAAAATACAAAGAATATTTACATTTTACTATTAAATTAAATTTATTTTTTTCTCAAAAATAATTATTTAATAGTAATTTTTCCTTTTTAAGTTAAAAAAAAAGGAATTCAAAATTTTTCTCAGAAATAGTTATTAATAGTGTAATTTCTACAAAATATTGTAAACAAAAAAAACGATATTAGTATTTATTTTCCTAAGCATGGGTTTAAAATAATAACAAAGAAAAACAGTATTTTAAGTTTTATATACAAAACAAAATCTTAGAAATTCTTATAAATATAATAGTATTTTAGATTTTACAAAGAGAATTCTAAAACCAAAATTTATTATAATTTTGTTTTAGTTGTAGAATATTATTTGCACTACCAAATATAATATGTGTTTAAAATAATTAGAAGTATATAAATTTATTTTAGTTGTAGTATTTATTTAAAATAAAATTATATTTGAAAAGTCAAAAAAACATGGGTTAAGATAATTACAAAATCAGTAGGCATTGGTTTAAAATAAAGAATTTTCTTTAAAATTCCAAACAAAAAGAGAACTGTAAAAATATTTTTATTATTTTCATATAATTAACTATTTTCTTATGGAAGCCCATTGGTCTAGGTTTGACTAAATATTAATTTTTTTACATTATCAGGTCCATGTTTTGAGTTTGTGAGAAGGAAAATTATCAGTTTACTGGACAAAATGTTTATAAGATAATTTTAGCATTGTACAAAAAATATGTATGGTGTGAGTCCTATGTAAAACTTATGGGGATGTAGATGTGAATCCTTATAAAATGCGTACAAATTGTTGACTGTAGAACGCTTATGTAATTTCTTTCACAATTTGTATTAATATAATTAACCACCGTTAACAAAACTATAATTGTTTTATATAATCGATACACATTGACATTTATCTATAAGGTTTAAAAATATTATATAGTTACAAATAAATAAATATATCGATATATACTGATCTATTATTAAATTTTAAAACTAATCAATTTTCTTCAGTTACAAAATTGAAGTAATAGTCGATGATGGAAATTATTATGATTTAAATTTGTTTAGTTTAAGTGTATTTTTAAGAAGGAAAATTGTAAGAAAAAAAATAAATTCGTTTAGATTAAGTATTTAAGTAAAAAAAAAGTATGATTTAACATATGTCATAATCTTAGATATGTAATTGCCACATGTCACAATCATGTTAAAATAAAAATCTTTTTAATGATTGTTTCTTTTTTCATGTCTATTAAAACATGTACTAATACAATATATTTTCATAAAATATTATTCATACAATCGAGATTTTAAAATATAATTTTTATAAAACACATATATTTTTGTGGCTACAAGAATCAAAACAGGATAAATTTCATAAGGTATTAACAGTTTTATTACCTCTAAATTAGATGATAAAATGCTGATATATAATGTTTTCTATTACCTATACAATTAAGATTATTTGCAATTCACTTATAGATTCATCTATAAATTTTGTTCTAAAATAGAGAAATTT